GGTATACTTTATCCATCTGTACAAAGCACACATCCATCATCTTCATTGATAGAGGTGATGTTAATTTAGTTTCTTAATAGCTGAAGAGATCGCTATCTACAGTATTACAAGACTGTCATCAATATCTACTTTAGACTGGATGGGATGCTTAATGATAGATAGGCTGCAATTTTGCAATCCATTTTCTCCATCCCTATGTTGATCTTTATGTTCTCCTCCTATTTTACCAATGTTTTGTTAGGGATGTTTTCATTTTCTCTTTCAAGTCCCTCTTTGACTACGATTTGTAATAGACATTAAACTAACTCAGCAATAGCATTGATCATAGACTACACTACTTTTAATCAGCTTTACTTTATTTATTTTTGGGTATTGGTTTTACTGACATTGGGGGTGTACTTTATCCATCTTATATACACTATACACATCAATCATCTTCATTGATTATGGAAGCAATATTGACTTAGTTTATTGACACTCGCGTTAAATTGCACTGGGTATAAGATACAAGATTAGCTTTACATTTCTGCAAATAATGTCTTTTAAAAATATCAAATATCATGCCTATTTCACGTGGGTTACTAAGCAGTAATCCATATCACCCTTGATGATGAGTTCAGAGTGTTGAAGATTCCATTGCATGTCCTCTATGAAGAAGTGATCGTGTGGTTGAAATGGTAGAGTGATTTGTAGCTGTAGTGTTTGGGGGTTATAAATATTAAAACTACATTGATGGAAACTATTTTCATACAGGATTAACTGCTTGTCCGACCATAGATTTTCATGGTCGAAGAATTGTGTTTCGAAATTATCGAAGTATTTGATATTGTCTTTGTATCTTTTCATGCGTAAATTTTTATTTTCTTCTAGGTTGAGTATCTATAGGCATTGAATTTTATGATTAGCACAACCTACGTTCAACAATGACGACGTCACATTGATTGTATGCAGTTATCGTTGTCTTACTGCTATATGGTCTCCATTTTCCAGAAGTAGCAAAAAATTTTCATTTTTCTATAATAAATTCAATGGAATGTAACGATCAGTTATGGACTAGAGTAGAGCTCCTTACATAATCAACTCATTACAGTCGTTGTCATCCTCCTTCCAACTCATTTCCATATTGACCGTATCACTGCGATCATTATGACTTACCATTGCTAATACATTAGCAATCATTTCGGCATCTTTCTCTCCCCATACATCAACTAATTTTTCTTTCTTCATCCGAAGAGGCGAATGTTCAATCTTATGAGGGTTATAATTCATCATTATTTTACAGATTAATCCTTCCTCCCATTGGTATGGTATGTTTTGCAGTAATTGATATTCACCATCCCCAAACTTGTAACACTACAATAAATTCAAGTTGGAAATGTCGTTAATGGTCGTCTCCATTTGCAATAGACGTCAAAGTCGACATTCAAGGCTATTTTCGACATGAAACTGAACAGTCAATTTATAGACGGTTCCACTTTAGAATAGAGATTAAATGGAAATAAATTATTCTAGCTTACTTTCAAGCTATCATCTTCCTTTCTTTCCCAAACATAAAGATAATCATCATCAACATACACAACACCAACTAGATGACTCCATGTCAGTCGATCAACGCTCTTCATTCCGGTTGTAAGGTTAATAGTTATTATCCAGCTATTGAATGAGGAGAATATCTGAAATAAATCAATTAATTAATTCGACCAATTGACCTCCAACGTAATTGTAAAATCAGTTCAACAACTTCTTATGTTAGCTAATAAGCATTTTCATCATCTTCTTCTAAATAATACTACCGTCATTTTCATACAAACTTCAAACTAGTATTTTCAACATACGTCCATGAGAATGAGTGTGTTATCCTTCTTTCTATATCTGAAGCGTATCCTATCTTTAGCAGTCGATTCTTCTTCAAGTATTCTATTGATTGATTCCCTGTACTCTCCATAATCTTCTATACCTAGACGCTCGATCAGCTGCAACCAATCAATATTATCCAATTCAATTCAATGGAGCTGAGGATTGAACAAAGTCGATAGAGCTACTAGGGTTAATGAAAGCTTAACCTACGTCGAAATTGTTGATGGCAGTTTGGGGGTTACGTTGGGGTCTATCAAGATCAAATGATTGTGTTTGAGAGGTACCTCGCCAAGCAATTTTATCGCCTTTAATTTAATAAAAACGATTGTGACCATGAATGTATGCATGATTGAATTACAGTTGTTGTACAACCGTCATGTCTTACCTTGTAAATTATATTCATATACATTACGTGCATGATAAATAAGCAATCGATTACTACCAGGAATAAACATTGATCGACCAGATTGATCAAGTTCAACACGAGATTGGACTTGATCACCACTCATTTTGAGTATGAGTTTCTAAATATATCACAGTATTACAATATAGGACTAATATTACAGCACAATAAAATATTTCGCTGATCTACTTTATGACGCATCATGAATATGAGTAACCCAATATTGCACTAACCCTACTGGTACAGTCAATAGTGATCATTGGCTGATCGCCTGATACCAAAATATTGTCAGGGAGCATATCATGTAATATTGGCCGAAATTGATTTTCAAATTCGATACGTTCTTCCATTTTTAACAGACCAACAGTACTTCTAAGAATTCTGGTGTATGACAATATCATATAGGTTTCATCACGGTAGATGTTGATGTGCGTTAAGGGCAATCCACGTTGAAATTCATTGGTAGCAAAGTACCATTTCCTGCTTTCATCCCTTGCATCGATGAAAGCAGGTACTTTGAATGATCGACGAGTCCATTCCTGAGCATTCCACATCTATCCATCAAATTGATACAAATAGCTTTTATCAATTGGATCTAAGAGACGATATTAGACTTTACTGCATTTAGTCAATGGTAGCTTACTTCAATTTGACATTCATTAATCCACTCTTCCGGATCGTCAGGTACATAGTCTTTATACTCCCCTCGACTTCGATATTTTCTCCACCACAACAAGACACAAACACTATCTTGCATTCGTACCCATCGACAATATTCTATGTCGTATTCACATGATATTTTCTTATTTGCAGATGTAATGCAATTCCCCTCAATCTTCCAAATCTAATATATACATAGCACAAAAACAGTTGAACGCAACAGTTTTCAATCACTTGGCATGCTTATTTAATATTCGCTTAAAGTCATGTTCACTGCTAACCTTAACTTCACGGAAATCTTCAGAGAGTGTCATAATAACTTGGGTTTCAGATTGACCAGGGCAAAATTGTACGGAAACAAAGTCAGTGTTCCCTTGATCGTTTCCGGCAAAGCATATTTCTTTATTTTTATCGACATCGTAAACGATCCACTTGTCCTAAGAATATTCAACAAATGAATGAAGAGATTACTTAAGAATGTAGAAAATGAATCAAGAATGATATCAACAACGTATTGTTATTAGCAGTAGAATACATTGCAAAATGTGGAGCTTTCTCCACACTAATTCACAGTCTAATTACAAAATAGATGAATACCGTCTACTGCACATGAGTAAGAGATGCAGGAAGGAAAGTATCAGCAAAATTAAAAGTGATGAAATGAATGTCTGATCCATATTCTGTGTACAATTAAAGATGATGAAGACTATTGACTGAATATTGATGTTAGCACGTTTACAATTTATCCTTTAAGTACCGTAAGGCTATCATCAACTCAATCCTACTCAAATTGCAAAGAGCTACCTTTTTCCCAATTTGCTTGAAGGCTGCAGTCCGGCCGTCAGCTGAGATTTCAACTTCTTCAATATCCATGCTTGGTTTTGATATTCCAAGCACAGTTTGTGATGTTTGATAATCTTTAATCTATTAAAGTAATTGCAATAGTGAGCAAGGCTTCATAGAATGGCATCAACATGCTATCCAAATCGTTGTATTCAATTTATTCTACATCAAAGTATGTCAAACATGGAATTAACATTGTCAGGTAGCGATGGGCTACGCAGTAGCATGGCTTGACAGACAGAATAAACTGCTGCTGCTATGACAAGATGTAGACCTTGATTGATCGATTCTACTAACAAGTAAAATGGGTGAAGAATTGACATGAATGACATGATAGAGTAACGAGTAATCAGCATAGATTTTATTGGCAGTCTGTGACTGATTGGATTGTATTTTTAGCTCTAGTTCAACGATAGTCCATTCTAATTCTTGGCCTTTGCCGTTTTATTATTGTATACTAACATACCACAATTTGGCAGTCTTCTTTAGCATTGTTTTGAGTACCAATTATTCGCAAAGGTTCAAACTCGGGATTCGAAACTGATATAGACTTATCCCTTACATTCTTACCGATTGCTTTGCATGCATCATAAGTATATTGAGTTGTTGCACTAGTGAACACCGA